TGGCTCCTCTTTGGAGGACTCATCGTCCTTCTCTCCGGCTGCTGGCACGGCGTCCTTGCTGGAGTGCTTCACTGCAATTTGGAATTTCCGGCCTGTAGATTCTTTCTTCTTAATGAGAGTGGTGACAACAGTTGTCAACTGCTCCAAGGGCAGCTTCCCGTCACGGTACAACTCCAGGAGCTCCTGCCTTTTGTCCTCAGGGATGCAGTCGGAGGACAGCAGGTCCCACAAGGAGACTCGTCTCCCCTGGAGCTCATCCACTGCCATCTCAACTGTGGTGGACTTCAAGGCTTCCTCCCAGGTGCTGTCCTGCAGGTGAAGGCTGTTCTCTGCTTCTGTGGCAGCCATCTCTGCCCTCGGACCGCTCACGTGTGCTGACTGCTCCATCTTTGCTGCTTCTGCCTTGGCCACAATGGTGCTGACAACGGTTTTCACCTGCTCAAGGGTTAACTCTCCAGCCTGGTACAGCTCGAGCAGCTCCTTCCTGTTCTCTGCAGGGATGTACTTGGAGTGGAGCAGGTCCCACACAGAGACCTTGTGGCCGCGAAACTCTCCGACCTCCATGTCGACAACGGTGGATTTCAAGGCCGTTTCCCATGGCTCCTCTTTGGAGGACTCATCGTCCTTCTCTCCGGCTGCTGGCACGGCGTCCTTGCTGGAGTGCTTCACTGCAATTTGGAATTTCCGGCCTGTAGATTCTTTCTTCTTAATGAGAGTGGTGACCACAGTTATCACCTGCTCCAGGGTTAGCACCCTTCCACGGTACAGCTCCAGGAGCTCCTGCCTTTTGTCCTCAGGGATGCAGTTGGAGAAGAGCAGGTCCCACACAGAGAACTGACCGGCTGGGACGTCAATGGTGGTAGACTTCAAGGCGTTGTCTTGTGCTGAACAGCCATCCCCATTTTCCTCTGCCCTTGACGCTGCTTTTTGTGGATTCCCAGCATTCGCCGTGGGTCTGATATTCGCAGCTTCTGTTCCGTTGATGACGGTGCTGACAGCAGCAGCCACCTGTTCCGTGCTCAGTATCCCTGCCCTGTACAGCTCCAGCAGCTCCTGCCGCTTCTCCTGAGGGATGTATGTGGAAAAGAGCAGATCCAACAAGGAGACGTTTTGTCCCTGGAACTCACCGGCGGCGACATGGATGGTGGCAGACTTTAAAGACTTTCTCAACTGCTGCTCCTGGGAGCGCGCATCCTGCGCCGGCTGTGACTCTCCTATCTCACCGTCGGCTGTTGCTGCAGATGAGCCCAGGTCTCCGTTTCCCGTTTCCACCCCAGTGATGATGGCGGTGAGAATGATGATCATCTCCGGGACGGTCACCGTCCCTGCTTTGTATTTCCTCAGCAGCTCCTCTCTCTGGTGATCAGAGATGTAGCGAGAGAAGAGGAGCTCCCAGACGGTGACGCTGGAAGAGCCCTGGAAGAGCCCCACGCTGACGGTGGTGCGGGCAGCCTGCAGGGCTTTGCGGGCGTCCTTGTTGAGCTGGAAGAGCACGGATCCTTTGTCCATCACGTGCAGCATGAGCAGCCCCGTGTCGGGGTCGGGCACGCAGCGGCGCAGGAGCTGCGTGTAAGTGAGGTTCTCGTGCGTGTTGGGGTCGAAACAGCTTCTGGTTTGGTTCTTCGGGTTCAGGAGGAACTGGCACAACTCATGGTCAAAGTAGCCGCGCTGGTGGGCCGCCTCCACAGGCAGGCGGTCGCCGTTGGAGGGGTCGATGATGCCGCCGGTGGCGATCTGGGCCTCCAGCAGGCGGATGGCGTGTTCCTTCACGATGAATTCCTTCTGCATGGCCTGGAAGAGGGAGATCTTGTGTCCCGTGTACGGCTCCGTGTACCCGGTCACGGCTCCCTCTGCTGACAGCAGCTTCTCATAGAAATCCCTGCCGATGAGTCCCGCGCTCAGCGCCTCTTTCACTGACAGCTTTGCGTTGCTCACGGGGTCGGTGAGGAGCCCCGACGCAGCCTGTGCCTCCAGCAGCACCAGGGCTGTGCCCGGCGTCAGGAGCCCCCTGATCATGGCTTCATAGATGCTCAGCTTCTTGTTCTTCGCCTGGATGAAGACGCCAGCTATGAAGTTACTCCCATCCCCGCGCATCTCTGTGCGCCTGCTTGCAGTCGGGTTCATTGCCGTGTTGCTTGGCTTGTTGTTCTGAAGGGCTCCACTCATCTTCTGTCTCTGGGCAACAGTCCTGCTGCCGTGGAGCACCGCGTTTGTCTGGCGAGAGAGAAAGAAAAGACCTGGTGAGACACGGGTTCCTGAGCCGCTCTCACGGTGTGAGCAAAGAGAAGCCGTGTGGCAGCCCTAAGCCTGAAAGCAGGAAGCAGCACGGACAACCTGGCTTCTCTCAGAGTCCTCTGAGGAGCTGCTAGGCCTCCTGGACACCCGGGATCTTTGGCTTCTGAGAGCTTCCTCTCCTGTTTCCTGAGCGACGCCTCTGCTGCCTGCTTTGGGCACAGGGCACAAAGTGAGCACAGCCCCTGCTCACCTCTCTCTGGCTGCTGTGCTGCCCTGGGCTTGGCAGATTTAATCAGTGATCACCCCACCAGCAGAAGTCATCACAGAATCATAGCATGGCCTGGGTTGGAAGGGATGGCAAGGATCACGAAGCTCCAACCCCCCACCACAGGCAGGGCCACCAACCTTCACGTTTCACAGCAGCCCAGGCTGCCCAGGGCCCCATCCAACCTGGCCTTGAACACCTCCAGGGATGGACGGGGCATCACAGCCTCTCTGGTCAGAAGCCATGCCAAGAAGCAGTGCTGACATCCCAATGTTGCTGCCACTGGCCACCGTCCTGCTGCAGAGAGCTGCTGGCCGGCGCTGTGCCTCACCTGCCCTCGTCCCCTCGTCCTCGTCACACTGCCTGGCTTTGCACTGGTGGGCCGTGAGTGTGGGCTGTGGCCACGGCTCCGCTCAGTGCTGTACAGATCCTCCTGCCCCGTGGTCTCAACACAGGCCGTGGGATTGGTCCATGGGAATTGGGCAGATGGGTGCAGAGGGCTGTTGAGATCCAATGCAGCAGAGAGAATCTGAACTAGCGGAGACCATCTGTAAGGCCGAGGTTTGCTGGGGGTGAGGTGTGCCTGGGTTTCTGCTGGCTCTGAGGCCCCAGGGCTGGCGGAGCCCCATCTCGAGTCCCTTACGCTCTCCTCACCTCCTTAACCTGGTGCCACAGGCAATGCTCACACGGCTCTGTGGCCAGAACTGACTTTGAGGTGCACCTGGAGACGGTCTTGAGGGAGGGTTGGTGGCCTGTGCCCGTTACCACCCTGCGACCGTTCCAACCTGTTCCAGAGCCTGGGGATGAGGGCAGGGTCACTGGGAGGGCTGGTCTGGCTGTGTGCTCTCCCTGCAGCGTGGCAGGGATGCTCTGCAGATGTTTGGGGAAACAGCTGTAGGAAATATCTCCCGGCCCCTGGGGCTGTCAGGGGGACTGAGCGGTCTCCCTTTGTTTTCATCTGATTGTTATGGGAATGAAGATATATGCGTGTATAAGGCAGAGTCAGGGAGGGCTAAGAACAGAAAGCTGCTGGGGACGCTGCAGTGGGAGCTGTTTGCAGGGGGCTCTCCCCTTCACACGGGTGCTTTGCAATAAGCGTGACAGGTCACAGTCTTGCAGTGCCCTTCACGCAGAAATGCAGCCCCAACCCAGGTAGCTGCTGCGCTGTCGGAGCTGTGCAGGGTCAGAGCGAGGGCCCCTGCAGCCCAACTCTCCTTTCCATCCTGAGCTGGAAGTGGACAATGGGAAGGATGGGGAATGAGGTGACGTGTAACGTTTCCCTGCTTCCTGTGGCAGTCTCTGTTTTCGGCTCAGTGGATTTCGTGAGCTGAACACATTCGGGGTCTGTTTAGCGTTGCTGAAGGGATCTCTCCCAAGATCCCTCTCTTTCTCTTATGAAAGCTCCGCAAGCTTTCAGCATCCCCAGCATCATTTGGTGATAAGGCCATGGATCTCGTAAGCACGGCAACAACAAAACTCACATTTATCTGGGAACACCCATCTCCCATAAAGCTGCAGTGACTGACGTTAATGATAAGTTTAATTATCAAGGACACAGCTTAATTCCCTGATGTTTACCTAACTGGTCCAAAAGTCTCTGAGTCATTGCTTTCGATCCATTTACATATTGCATCGATGCTGGCGGAGGTTGATCACGGTGCCGGAACGCTGCATCCCTGCATCACCTGCCCTGGCTCCGGGCTCCCTGTGGCTGAGGGGCTGCAGCCCCCCCCCAGCCCCAGCCCCACGGAGCCTCTTCCCTGCAGCTGAATCCCCCTGGAGGTGCGGGGCCAGTTGTGCCACCTCAGCGCTGCAAAGCAGAGTCACTGTCACACCCCGGAGCAGGAGACACCTATGTAGGACACGGATGTCGTGTGAACACCCCACACGGGAGGACGTTGCCCAACGGCAGGCTATCATTAGCCGTCTCTAATCAGCGCTCCTGATGCTGGGGCTGGGTTGCAGACGCAGCTCCCGGGGCAGCGGCCGCCGTCCTTTTTGGCTGTCACAGCAGCTCCAGGCCCTGATGGAAGCGGTTTCCTGGCTGGGGTGAGCCGTGGCCCCTCGCCCTGCCTGCACCCTGGGCAGCGTGCGCATCGCTGCACCCCAGCCTGGTGCTCATGGCCCCACTGCCAGGCTCCCAGCTGAGACCTCAGCACAGCCCTCTGTCCTGTGGGCTCAGGAGGGTCCCGCAGCTCTGGCTGCTTCCCCCCAAATCCTGCTGTCCCGACATGAAGCGCATCGCGTAGAGCACCCGCTCCATCGGCCCCGGAGCCACTTCATCACTTCATCTCCTTTTAGCAAGGACTGTGCCGTACCCGGAGCCCTCCTGCTCACCCGATCCCATGGCTTCAGCTGCCCTCCAAATGGCAGCGGCAGAGGAGGGGACTCTGTAACCCTTGCAAACCCCTGGGGTCTGCACAGAGCGTGCAACTCTGGAGCTGTGCTGAGCTGTGCGGTGTCCCCGATGTGCCCAAAGCCAGAGCTGTGCCAGGCTGCCCAGTGGTCCCGGTACCCCCACCTCCCCAGATGGGTCGTGTCCTACCTGCTGGACACCGATCCGGAGCCGTTGCTCCCCACCGGGCTGCGTTCCTCCTCCTCCCACCGCCTCTCAGGCAGGACGAGCAGCCGAGGCCGGCTCCCCATTTAAATCCTCCGCTTCCCCGCCCCGGGGGCTGACACGCGGGCCCTGCCCCGTGCCACGAACCCAGCCAAAATACAGCCGGCCGCTGTGGCTCGGCAGCGCTGCAGCTGCCCCGAGAGCCGGCTGGGGGGCAGAGACCGATGCTGCGACGTGTGGGGGGCATCCCTGGCAGGAGGTGGAGCGAGTGATGGCCATGGAAGGCACCGAGGGCGCAGCGCTGCTTCTGGGCTCTGCTCCCACCATCTCTTGATGCATGATCCTGATATTCTGGAGGCCTCTATGGGTCTGAGCTCAGCTGGGGCAGGAGCTGCAGCCGCCTCCCGCAGCCCTCCCTGCTTCCCGTGGGGGACAGAGGTCCAGCCTGCCTCCCGGTGGGGCCGTGACCACGCAGGCACTTTTGACAGGCGGTCATTGGGGCTGAAGTTGCTCTGGGATGGACATCTCTCCCATGACAGAATGACAGAGCAGTGGAGGTCGGCAGGGACCCCAGCGGGGCAGCCCAGAACGGCTGCTCCCGGGCCAGGTCCAGGCAGCAGTTGAAGGTCTCCAAGCAGGACGCTCCGCAGCCTCTGTGAGCAGTGTCTCTGTTACCACTGTGCTCCTGGAGAGCAGGGCAGCCAGCACCGGCCTGGGGGCTCAGGGCACTCGCCGGGTCGCTGGCTGGCACAGGATGTGCAGGAGCAGGGAGCGAGGGGCTCCGCTGGATGCAGCTGAGGCTCTGCCCCGCGTTTGAGCCGCGTGCCGTCAACCCACAGCCGCAGCTCTGGTGAACGCAGCTCTCCTGGTGCTTTCTTTTAGCAGCAGTGTGGTTTGGGCTGGATTGCTGCGGCGCGTAACTGCACAGCTGTGCATGTGCTCAGAGGCTGGCGGTGCGCACACGTAAACCTCTGACCGCACCGCTGAGGTGTGCGACTCAAATGCGTGCGCGCATCCGATGGTGCGTGTGCGTGGATGTGCCTGTGTGAGGCTCTGTGTGCAGCTGCACGTGTGTGTGTGTGTGTGTGTGTGTGTGTGTGTCCATCCCCGTGTGGGTGCGTGTGAGGTGGTGCCCCACTCAGAGGCGTTCCCAGCCCCTGCCCTGCCCTCCCCGGGCTCTGCTGTGGGTGCACATTCCTCCTTGCCTGCGTGGGTGCTCGCCGGATGGACTGGATGAGCAGCACACAGAGCGTTTTCCCTCTGAGTCACCACGGAGGTTGGCTCTGCTGAGAGCACCTGGGCAGGAGGTCCCTTTGTGTAGGGGATGGATGCGCAGGACCCGGTTCTGCTGCCTTTCCTCCCTCCCCAGAAGCCCTTCCTTACCAGCTGCCGATGCCACGAGCCGATGCACCTCAGTGTAGGTTTGAAGGTTCAATATTTGGGCTGTGCTGCAGACAGAGCCTTGCTCAGGGCCGGGTCCTTGGCTGGAGTCGGGTACGAGGGCTGCAAAGGTGCCTGCGCCAGCAGGAGGATCCTCTCCATGCCCTGCTCCGAGCAGCACCAGCCCTGAGCACGAGCCTGGCCAAGGGCGGCAGCAGGCGGTGTGCCACTGCCCTGTGCTCTCCGTGCACTGACTGCAGCCACACACACTGCTCCCCCAAGTGCTCCCAGTGACTCCGGACCACCACCCACAGCCACCCAGCTCATTTGGGCCACCAGCTTGGATCCTGGACACTTGGCTCTGAATGCTGCAGTTGGCGGCTTCCCTCAGAGATGCATCACTTTGCACTCAGCAGAGCAGAGGCTGTGGTTTGTTTCACTGCAGCACAGCCCAGGCTCCCACTACGGCTGTGGAGAGCGGATCAGAGAGCAGAGCACGGCTGCTCCGACAGCACGCATCTCCTGCAGGGTGTGCAGGCCTGCCTGGGGCAGCCAGGTGCCCACACTGCACACAGGCACCACCTACAGTGAATCAGCCGTGAA